TGAGATATCAAAAAAAAAAAGGTATGGTATGTGGAATTAGAACAATCTACTCCCAGGAACTAAATAAAGAGTTCAGTTCAAAATTCCAACGTATATCACCTGAAGAAGATCGGAGCGTACAATGGCCGAAACGTCGTGAATATGGCAGTAAACAGTCCAAAGGATATAAATAGTGTAAATAGTTACAATACCTCATCTCAGAAATATAGACAGACATTTTTTTTTCGATTATATTTATTTTCTGGACTGATACCTATAAACTTTTTCCGCATATAAGACTTATTTTAAAGTTTTGGAAAATAATCTTTCGAAAATAAAAACAAAGTTAAACAACGCAAAATGAAGCTTTCTGATTTATTTTGCAATTTAATGGTCGTAATGATTAATTATTTTGAAATTTAATGGTAGTAATGATTAAATTATTTTGAAATTTAATGGTAGAAATGATTAAACTATTTTGAAATTTAATGGTAGAAATGATTAAATTATTTTGAAATTTAATGGTAGTAATGATTAAATTATTTTGAAATTTAATGGTAGAAATGATTAATTATTTTGAAATTTAATGGTAGTAATGATTAAATTATTTTGAAATTTAATGGTAGAAATGATTTTACAAAAACAATACAGCTCAACGCAATAGCAGTGTCATAGATTGAGGCCAAGAAGACATTTAATTTTCTGTTTAGTTCTCAAATGTAGCAAAAGATCTCGGGGCTGAATCCTTCCAGTATCCTTTATATTACTATGCATGGTTATGATAGAAATATATTTGTTAATTGATTGCTTTACATGACATTTCAGACGTCGACGAATGCAAACCGACTGCATCTTCCCAAGGAAACGGAGGCTGTGAACAAATTTGCAACAACACAGTGGGCAGCTTTTATTGCTCGTGCAAATCCGGTTATTACCTCAACGCAGATGGAAAAACATGCACAGGTAAGTTCACGTAATTCATTTTCATGTTTAGCAAATTAACTAATTTAGTTCGCGTTTGCGTATTTCTAACCGATACCAAATGTTCGTGCCCAGGTTAAACACCAGGATTTCGAATGCTGATTTTCACCGCCGGAAATTACATTCCACATCGAAGATTAGCACAATACACTTTTCCGAAGCCTATTTCTCGAATTCTTATATTCTTCTTTTATGTATGTGTCCTTTCAGGACTTGGCGATCATGATTCTCCAAAACTTCATGTCTTTTTAGCTCTTAGAAATGTTTGTCTTTTTTCTATCCCTCCTAGTCTCTGTCCTGCCATCCATTTACCTATGCTCGTTAGGTGGTCATTATCTATTTTCTTGTGTTTCTCCCTTGCCTTCAATATATTCTGTGAATGTCAAATACTCCAAGCCCTCTTTCCTAATTAAGGAATCTAGATATTTCAACTAACTCTTTTTTGTTCTAAGTACATGTGTGCTTTTTGTTTCGAAGGTAATCTCAGCACTATTCTCAATTAAGATGGATCGACTAAGGTATTCCTTCATGTGACCATTTTCGTATATTTCATGTAATCTTGTCTCTGACGAAATCTATGTGCCATATACCTTCAGAAAGTAGGCGATTGTAATGCTCTTCAACGGCTTGTCCTTTGTAGCTCTTAACAGTATTTATTTTCTTACTATCTCTCCTAATCTCTGGTCTGCCAACCATTTACACATTCTCCTTAGCTCGGTCATTCGCTGTTTTCCTCTGACCTTCTGTAAATGCTAAATTTTACAAACCTTATTTTCTAATTATGTACCTCTAAAAATTTCGATTGTTTTTAAGTGCCCTTTTTACTTCCATTTTCTCTAAAACTTCTTTGTTGCTCACTGTTCAGTGCATTGTATTCTCAACATCCTTCTGTAGAACCATATTTCTGTTGCTTCGAGTCTTCTTATTAATCTGTGAGGAGATTGTCCTTCATACACTGCCATATGGAAGGATCGATAACTTAATAAATATTAACACTCGGCGTACATGGTGGTTGAGCTATTTGCGTTTTGCTTATTTCATCCAAGTAAAGGCGTAGAGTGTGTCAGAAATCAGTGTTGAAAATGAAATCGGTATGCCGAGTTCAATTCCCGATCGATTCTGTTTCGTTCACTTCTCGCTGAAGGAATGTATTTTCTTCCAGTTTAGGGTTAAATAGCAGGTCGGCAAACAATCTAGGAAAAGGTAAACTCTGAATTTAAAACCAGACTGAAGAAGGATGGGCTCCGTCCGGCTATTGCACCATTGCTGATATGACTGCAGTACATGTAGTACAACTACAACCCGAATGGATTACGGGGTTCGTGACGTGCCAGAGTAAAACCCAAGCTTATGAATGATCATTTTGATTTAAAAGATTGACGCAGCATAATCTTCATTTCCGATGTAATGTTGTTGTGAGATACTAGTATGTTTGGGTAGAAATATTAGTCACCATTTATGTTACGGGAATCAACACTTTGGATATTAAATATTGATGGGCTCCTGGAACATTTATCCCGCGAACAATATTGGCGGACTCATGTGTGAGTCCGGATAAAAATAAGAGAAAAAAAAAACAATAAATATACAATAATCGACAAAATATGTTATTAGCAAAATGAATTATATGTGTAGATAATTGTAATCAAAGGGAAAGACATAAAACTAGTTATAAGAAGAATGTGGTTGTTTGTGTGTGTGGGTGAAACAAGCGTGTGTGAGAGACACGTGTGTGTATATACGTGTGTAAGAGAGTGTCAATATCAACAGAGGACCAAGCAAGCGAACGTGCCTAATCGGAAGCGTTCTTTATCAACGTTGTCTGCATTTAGAAGCAAGAGTAAAAAAAAAAAAGCTGTAAAAGAGAGTGAAGTTTATCTTTGCCTTTTTTATAGGCTTAAAGAGCCCCTCCTAAAGAGCGTTTTTGGCAAAACCGAGTGGGATAACTTGTTGTTCTGTGAGGTGACTTTTCAGCATTCACTGCCATATAGGAGGACCGATATTACAGAAAAGTTCCATGTTCTTTTCTTTGTTTCTAAAGAGAATAAAAAGGAAAACAGAAAAGTTTTCAATTTCTTCGTTAGTTTTGTATGAAAATATAAATACTTTTACCATAATGATTTTCATTTGAAAACTAATTTAACGTCTTTAAAAGCTGTTTGAGAGTCATTATTAAATCCTTTTCCCCTGTTTTTTTCATTTTCTTTCTCTTCTTTCAGCAAATTCCCAATGCCATAGAGTTTTAGGTTGTGCTCATTTCTGCAGCCAAACTCCGCAGGGGCAGAGGTGTGACTGTATGGAAGGCTTTCGACTGCATCCGAACGGAAAAGATTGTATACGTAAGTTGAGGTTTATACCACCTGGGTATTGCAGATTTTAGCAACTATGCAAAACTCCCGTGTCCCTTTGGGATATTAAGATATATCAGCTTTCTTGCAGAATAGGAAGTATCAGACATGAAATGAAAAAGTTATCTTGTTTTTATTTTTATTTATTTTATTTTTATTTCTATTTTTTGTAATTCGCCTGTTATACTTGATGCCAATTCAATTACTATGGATAAAATTCAAATTTTGAACAAATAAACAAGTTACTCTGTAATTGGTTGGCCAAACTCCAACTGCATTAAAATTCAAAATTACCTTTATCTGTACTCATAGAAATTGCTAATCATAGAAATGTAAAGATTGATAATTTTTTGCATAAAATAATAGCACTCGTGAAACAATAAGTTTATTTACTTAAAACATATTTAAAAAAAACAAAAAAAAACTATTCCAACCACCTGAAGACGGCCGGAGCGTAGAATGGCCGAAACGTTGTAATACCTATGGCGACAAAGATGAGGAAAATAGTCCGAATAATTTAAATAATTTACATAATACCTCATCTCAGAAATATAGACAGATGCTTTTCTTTAGGGAAAACATTGAGTTTTACATTCACTTAAAGGCGTTAGTTAGATCCAGTAACAGAACCCGAAGAGTGTGAGTTCAATACCTGGTTAAGGCAGTGGAGAACTTGGAGAGTGGAACTAACAGGAAATAACTGATAATCCATTAGACATGGCACGTGGAACTAGAATAGTCTACCCCTGTGAGCGAAATAAAGGGTTCAGTTCGACATTCCAATCACCTGAAGAAGGCCGGAGTGTACAACGGCTGAAACGTTGTAATAAATATGGCGACAAAGATGAGGACAGTAGTCCGAATAATGTAAATAATGTGCATAATACCTCATCTCAGAAATATAGACAGATACTAAAAAAATAATAAAAAAAAATAAAACCATCATTATTTTAGGCAAAAATGAGTAATCTTATCGTGAGTTTCCCCTTTTAACGTTGATATGATTTTCTTGTTTTAGACTTTCGAAAAAGAATACAAAAAAAATCAGATCATTATTAGAAGAATGAATACGAAGTTTGACCCAACACTAAAGTTATTACGTCACAAATTGGAGTAGAATTTGCTTGATGTTACAAGTGTTTTAACAGTATTGTCTTAACACAAATCTCGCTACAATGGACTCTATTTGCTGTATTAGAGTGAGAAAACAAACACACCCACAAACAGATATCAGTTCAATTTTAGATAGTTTCGCACTCAGATACTTTAATAAATGTTTTTCAGTGACATCTCGAAGGAAGATGCCGTTGGATTCGTATTCTTAAAATATTGTATGGGGAACGATGTTCGCGTAATTTTCTACGTGGCAGTTAAAATGGTTTTTATGTACTCATTAAAATTACACTATTTTCTACAGAAGAGTGTAAGAAAAAAATTTTTTTTACAAAATTAGATACGAAATCGACTTGAAAAGCATTACTGTCGTCTGCAGAAAATCAACATATAAACATCGAGGCTGTGACTAAATCCAGGCAAAAGAGCCAGATTCAACTTTGAACCAATTATCGCGTTTTCTACCTCGCCATGATACCTTATCGTCGACAATCATCATTAGAAAACTGATTCCATTTCTCAAGCCCGTTAGTTAGATATTTAAACAATTTTCTACACTTTTATAGAATATGTGTTCTTCTTATCCTTTCTCTCTCTCTCTCTCTCTCTCTCTATATATATATATATATATATATATATATATATATATATATATGTGTGTGTAACGCGTCTGGTCTCAAGTGTATAACAAGTTATAATTGCTTTACATATGGAGTTCTTAAGTGGTACTCTAGGGAGATCCGTCAAGTCTCCTTTACTTGGAGGAATATTCTTCTGTTGTAAAGGATAGTGATATTTATCTACTTAAACTAGAAAAAACACAGGAAAATGAACGCGGGAAAAGTACAGAAGAAGTGGAAAGCAGCTTGGAGTAAGAAAAGGGAGGGGTGCAAAAGAAAAGGTCGGAAAGAGAGAAAAGGGAGAAAAAGAGTCCAGAAAGAAAGTGCCGGAGAATGGCGAGAAAGAACGAAGAGCGATCAAATGAGAGAGAGAACCGAAAGAAAAAGAAAAAAACGCGGGAGGAAAAGAAAGAAAGAAGAAAAGAAGTTTGTTTTTTTTTTGTTACGAAAAAAATGGACCAAAAAAGAAAGCGAGAGATAAAAATATAACGAGAGGAAGGAAATCTGATGAAACCTAGAAGTAATCCTAGTAATAAGCAAAGTGAGAGATGCTATTGAAGAGAAGAGAAAGAAATAATAAAAAGAGCAAAGAAAGAAAAAAGAGGAAAAGAAAGAAAGAAAAAAGAGGAAAAGAAAGAAAGATCAAATGTAGGAAATAAAGGAATAATAAAAAGAATTAAAAAAAATAAGCGAGAAAGAAAAAGTGAAAATGAAAAATAATAGAAAGAAAGACATGAAAAAAGAAACAAAGCGAAAGAAGAAAAAGAAAAAAAACAAAGAAACTAAATATAAATTAACGGAAAATTTGAGAAATGGGTGAAGACAGCGGAAGTGAGAAAACACAAGAAAAACTTTTTTTAAAAGCCGAAAAGTTAAAGAAAATAAGAGAGAAAGAAAAGGATAAAGTGAGATAAGAGGTAAGAAAATAAACACAGGAAATAGAAAACAGAAAACTCACAAATAGTAGAAATGTTCGCATTTGTTGCATTTGCAAAACGTTTCTGTGACTGTTAAAAGTTTGATTGTTTGGTTTCTTTTTCGAGAATGGCAAACAAATATAAAAGAGGACAAATTGCGAATTCCTCGTGAAATTACGTAAGTCAAAAGATCAAGTCATTTCTCAAGAAATAGAAACAAAAATCAGTCATTATTCTAAATGTTTCAAGTAATAATCTATTTGACAAGTCCAAATCTAGAACGGGGCATAGTTTTTTTTTCTCTTTTTAGTTCATTTAGAAAATTAAAATATTGTTCTGAATTAAAATTTTAATTATCTGTTTCTGCTTTTCTCTTGGAATTTTATTTTAGAATTTTTATTCGTTTTTCGGTTTTATTTCTCTTTCTCTTTGCCATCTTCTGTTTTTGGGTTTTATTGTTGGGCCGGCGATAAAGTGCATTTCAATAAAACTCTGACTCCATATCGAAGTTAAATCGTAAACTCCACATTCTAGAATCTTTTTCAAAATTACTTGACCAGAAAAACTTGCATGAATCTAAACAATCAGTTACTGATATCTACTAATTTTAAATAAATTCAGGAGAAAACTATTGTTCATTCAGTTTTTTTGAACTCAATCATTTTCCGGACTCTGCCCCACGAAAAGTAACTACAGAATAGTTAGTCTAACACAAAATCCGTGAGATAAACTTGCTGGTCATTATTACACAATAGAGTAGGTCGATTTTAAAATCGTGTTATTGCGCTCAATGTAAAGTTGGGGTTTTACATGATAAATAATGACACGAAATATTTTTTCCCAAATTCTTACCACTTTTTGAGGAAAGCAGTTTCAAGATTATCAACAATGGGATGTTTTGTTTTGTTTTACTGCATATCAACCTCAATGGGTTATGTAATGCCGACAAGATTTGTATTGCTGATAATATTTCTCTTTTTTTAGCAAATGTATTACTGGTAATTTTTTTTCCTTCAAAAACCTACCTCTGGTAATATTTTTCCTTCCAAATTGTATTGCTTGTAATTTTATTTTTTTTTTTAAAGTATAGCTGGTAAAATCTTTTTTTCAAAAATGTATTACTGGTAATAATTTTTTTCTTCAAAAACTCATTGCTGGTAATAACTTTTTCACAAATTATTTCATAGTTTGGGGGGTTAACTATTTGCCCGTAGCTGGGACCCTAACAGGTGCTACCACACTGGGTCAGGGTGGACCTGAGAACACAAGCAATTAAGAGGTGGTTCCACGCTCCTCAAAACCTCCTGATCAGAGGCCTTGCTGTTGGACGTAGTTTATCATCTTACCCAGGACGCAGATGTAGTTTATCGTCTTACCCAGGACGCGGATGTAGTTTATCGTCATGCCCAGGACGGCAACAATGGGATGGGCAAGTGGTGTAATGATTAGCAGCACGGAACGAGAAATTGGTGAGCCGAGTTCGAATTCCAGCTGCGTTTGTTACCTCCATTTTCGTGAAAATACCATTGGGGAAAAGTATGAATCTATCTCTTCTACTCCTACATCCATTTATGAGGTAAATAGAAGCGCAGACGCGGCCTCAAGCCATGATTGGTAACCAGTCTAGGGGAAGCACAACTCCAAATAGAAAACCAGTTGGACGCGAGGCCGACAAATTCACCCCGTAAAAAACGTATTTTCTAAAGAAACCACAACAGTAACGCCTAGCGAGACCAGGCTGTTCTCGACGGGGAGTCTAATGGCAACAAGAAGGAAGAAAGTTCAAAGATACATTTAAGATTTCCCTAAAAAAATGGCATTTCGAATTTGGACCTCAATTTAATATTTTTATTTTTCATAGATCAAACCACAATTTTCTTTCTTTTAGATTCTCGTAACAAATTCATTTTCCACGATCACTAGCTTTATAATCATAAGAATCTCTATAGAGTGAGATCTTAAAGATTTTCCAGCATCCCAAATTTATTTTTTTGGATTTTTCGTGACAAATTCATTTTCCACAATCGACTATCTTTATCACCATAAGAATCTCTTTAGGCTGAGATGTTAAAGATTTTCCTAAATCTCACCACAATTTTATTTGTTTTATTGCGGGAATGCTGGTTGTCTTTCGGTAGAAAACACGTGTCACCCGGTATATTTTCCCACAATAATTATTGAGGACTCGAATGTGAGTCCGGGTAATAACTAAAGGAAGAAAAACAAAACTATATGCAAACAAAGGACAATGTGTTATTAACAAAATGTATACCTAGACATTTAAACTAGACAATGTGTTTTTGTGTGTGAAATGTGTGTAGAAGTCCAAGTGGAAAGTGTTACACTGGAGAAAGTGAAGTGAGCGAGCCCAAGTGGGGGGGGGGGCACTTTTTTTTTTTGACTACGTGCGACTACATCTTATTGTTTAAGCGAAGAAGAAAAAAGAGAGAATGATAGTGAATGTCATTTCCTATTTATAGGCTTAAGCTTATAAATAGGAAATGAAATTTGGTCCCTAGCCACAGTTTTTTTTAAGTGGAGTAACCCACAGTTTTGAATTCTCGTAACAAATTCATTTTCCACAACCATCGATTATCATTATCATCATGAGAATCTCTTTAGGTTGAGATGTTAAAGATTCTCTTGGATCCAACCACAACTTTATTTGTTTTGAATTCTCGTAATAATACTATTTTCCATTTATAGTGACAATCGAGAAAATATCTCTTTTGTCTGTGTCGATCAGATAAAAAAAAAAGACAAGTATCTTCTCAAAACTTCATATGACTTCCATTTTACGAGTTTGTAATTTTTTTTCCTCGGGCTTGAAAATAACTTATTACAGTTGATTGATTGCACAAATAATAAAGAAAAAGCCTAGCAAAGTTGAAAAACACTTGTAAGTTTTTACTAATACTTTGCAAAAATACCGTTGTGAACGGCCATGATGGCACATTATTGTTTATAATGTGAGTAGGAGAGACTTTTGTAACTTACACGTCTACTCGGAATCTAATCCCTGGAAACCGTGTACGTTAATCCAAATCATTGCCACAGGTGAATTAAATCATTATGTTTCTCCTTAAATGTCAATTACTATTTTAATTTATTTCCTGAAATATAAAAATGGAATTTTATTTAATCAAAGCGATATTTTTACGTGACCGGCCCTGACATATCATACAACTGTAACGTTTATTTACTTCATTTATTATCGAACTAATATCCTTAACATCCAACAGCAAGGCCTTTGACCGGGAAGTATTGAGGAGCGTGGAACCACTTCTTAATTGCTGGCCCTGGCTAGTATAACCTGTTAGGGTCCCAACTATGGGCAAATAGTTAACTCCCAAACTAAGGTCAAAGTGAAAGTGTAAAAATAGGTTTTAATACCAATCATACATTTTTGTAAAAAATTATTACCAGCAATGAATTTTTTTAGTAATATTTTACCAGTATTACCAGCAATGTATTATTACCAGAATACCTTTTGAAAAAAATATTACCAGCAATATAATCTTGAAAAAAAAAATATTACCAGGAATACATTTTTGAAAAGAAAATATTACGAGCAATACATTTTTGAAAAAAAAATTACCAGCAACAAAAAAAAAAATAAAAAAAAATATATATATTATCAGCAATACAATTTTGAAAGCAGAAAAATTACCAGCAATAAGAATCCTGTCGGCATTAAATAACCCATTGAGGTTGATATGCTATAAAACAAAACAAACCAAATTAATATCCTTATCATTGTTGTTATTATCACAGCATTTCAGTTGTAACTTATAGCCTTCTTTATACGTCTGACTATCCGGGCAACATTTATTCAAGTCTAGACATATCTTTTCTTTTTCTTATTTAGTACTTTTCAATTAGCTTTTAATGCCGCTTTTATCCGCTGAATCTAAGCCTATACTACTCAACAGACGTCACCAAATTCACAAACTAATGCTTCAATCCACTAATATAAGGGTAGCCAATAAGGGTAGCCAATAAGGGTGGCCAATAGGGGTGGTTCGCGAGCTAAATAGAAATATGTTCATGGTTATTAAAAATATTTAAGAATTTAAATCCTAATTTTATTACTAGATCTGAGTGAGGTATTGTTCTTTAGTGAAATGGTGGGAGGCAGAGAGATTAAAGAAATTTCCGGTCAGCATGAGTTACAGAGGAATGTCAGAAGACTGAAGTCATGGGGAAGGGCATTCAAGATCTGGATGCACCAGGAAAGGGGAAGTGAGAGTGGCCGAAATGTGTATGTACAGAATAAACGTATGCGTCATTTCTTATCATGGCTCTCAAACATCTGAACTTTATCGGATGTTACTCTTACATTAATTAAGTTTGGGCACCCCTGCATATTGTCTCGTAGGATAATCCTGAACATAGAACTGGAAAATTAATGCAAGATATTGGTGAACACTCTGACAAACCATAATATCGAGCAGTTTACGTATTTTTAAGTGATTTCTCCCAACAAAACATAATACAAAACTTATGACACTTTATCAAATATTTCAAGAATTCTACAGATTCCAATCAGATTTTCAAAATTACGAGATTTTATTTTAATTTCTACATTTAAATTAATTTTCAAATTTGGTCGTCTAGCCATTTTTTTTTTAGAAAAATTTTAATTTCTGAAATAAATCTCAAATGTTATATCAATTTGGAAGTTGGATTCCTTGATTTCAAATATTTATATAATAAAAAACTTTTCGAAGCACTTTCACAATTTGTCGATTATTCTTCATTTTCATAATTTTGAATGAAGGATTATCTTTTTTTCTTTCTACTTTCGTATTTAACAGGAACCTGCGCAATGGGAAATGGTGGATGTCAACACAAATGCAAAGATGGAAAGAATGGGCCGGAATGCAGTTGTGTGAAAGGTTATTTTCTGGGCGAAAATCAAAAGAAATGCATTGGTAAGTAATTCAACTGTTTTGAACTATAACGAACATTATATATGCATTATAATAAACAGTATTTATACACACACATGTATGTATATATATATATATATATATATATATATATATATATATATATACAGTGCTGTTCAATAAAAGTGACTCACCTGATTTTTTTTTTACTAAATGTTTTCTCCGATGAAACGAAAGTTCAGCTAAATTCAAAGGATAAGCGATCTAAAATCCGAAGAGGAAGCTATGAAAGCTCTTTGAATTTAGCAGTAAGTACTGTCAAGCATCCGTTCAGTATAATGTTATGGGGATGCTTTTCTTTTCATGGAACTGGTTTCTTAAAACCTATTGAAAAGACCCTCAGGAGCGAGCAGTACATGAGAATTTTAAAGTCTTGTCTGCTCCCTTCTGCTGAAAGGGTGCAAATCGACCCCACCAAGCTCATTTTTTTCCCCTGTCACAAATCAAAATTGATGAAGTAATACTTTGATGAGAAGCAGGTGAGTTTTATGACATGGCCGCCCCAATCTCCTGACCTCAACCCCATAGAAAACTTATGGAGCATTATAAAGTACAGGCTGTCGAGAAAGCAGTTGAGCTACATTAATACATATTAAGCAACGTTGAGCCTTGAGAAAACCAGATCTGTAAGCTTGGATGCACGGATGATATAACGGATAATGGTTCGGAATTGTTAATCGGAAAAATTTCAATTCCAGATTGGGTTTCATTAAACTATTTACCATAATCGGACTATTGTTCTCATATTTGTCGCCATATTTATTACATTTCGGCCATTGTACGCTCCGGCCTTCTTCAGGTGGTTGGATTGTCGAATTGAACTCTTTATTTCGTTCACTGGGGTAGACACCTCCACTCAGAGAATAGGCTAACTGACTTGTACCTGGGAAAAAAAACATTGTTATTCTCAAAAACATTGTTAATGCAATATTCACTCTCCAAAGAAAAGAAACGTCCTTACAATCCAAAATATTTGGCATTAAATAACACACAAATGGTTGATAAGCTGTAAAAAAATTAATCCCACAAATACCCTTTGTAAAGGTATGAATTGATCTCTTCTCAACTCTCCGCCTATGGGAGCTGATCTCTATTGCCTTAGGTGGCCACCAGTCTAGGAGGAGGGAATTCAAAACCAACCTTAAGAGGGATGGGCTCCGTCAGGCTCTCTTGACTCGCCACTGCTGAAATAGCTGCAGTACATGTGGCACCTCTTCGACCCTAATGGATTACGGGACTCGTGACGTAAGGAAGGAAACAGCCTAGGTTAGAAATGGAATTCGGGACGCTGATTTATATAAAATGGTTGAATTTGAAATGCCTAAATGAGGTTGAATTTTCAATGAGATGATCACTCTGAATGTAACTGAATGTTGAAAAAACATTTTGCAGTTCTCTTGTAGTCATGAAACAAACACTCCCTTGGCATCATCGTTACTAATTTTTTTTTTTAAATTTCACCCACTATAAAAAGCATTTCAAGGTATAGCTGGCCACTCGTATTTGAGGATACTCGTCTACTAGGGTAGCTAGCATATCCCTATTGCAGACGCTTACTCAGGCGCATTTGTTTTTATTCAACACCCACATAGCCCACCTGTGGTTTATACTGTAACTATGCTGAGCGGACCTTAGTTACAGTTTCTGGGAAAGAGCATGTTATCTAGCATGATCAACAATTTGAACAAGGCCAGCACTATCAAGCCCTCGGCCATGATGACTTGTGACTTTGTGCTAACACCGCTATCGACGTCACCCATGGGTTCCGTCTACCCATTTTCACTTACAAGGTTTGGGTCAAGTATCAAGCACTTTCCAAAGATGCCACACGCTAGGATCGACACCTCCAGTCCGATAACATCAGGAAGTCTCCTACCCGACAAATCGACAAAAAGATTCGAACCCGAGACTCATGGTCTGAATGCGGACGTTCTAACCAGTCAGCCTTTCAAGGTAGACGGTTACTAAACAAGGCGAGTGTTATGAGTCCTTGCGTTAGTTCTATGCTAATAGTTTCCATTCGAAGGAAAATGTAGACTATGAGGATAAGGAGGATAGATAGCGATTGAACCATGAAAAGGTTAAGATTTTAATGTCCAATGAAACATTCGAGCAAAAGCTTCATTAAAATCTTAACCCCTTCAAAGGTCAATCACTATCATCTTTATTCTCATAATTTTAATTTTTTCTTACATTCATATAGCACACCTCATTTAGCAGTTCTAGAAAAAAAAAGCTGAGTGTGACTTCCTTCTTATAAATGGAATACAGATGAAATGTGGGTGACTCGACTCTGGACGCAGCATAGCCAGTCCTAGCTGTAAAAATCTGAACTAGCGGAAGTGAAGAGTGGAGCTCAACTGGACATTATTTTCATAATTTCCGCCCGTATTGTTGTTGTAGTCCAGGTAAATTTCAGGATTTCATGTATTGTTTTTCAAACATATCCTTCCTCTTTCAAGATTGTTGCAACACGATCACTTCTCTCTTTTGGTTCCGTTCCAGACAAGTCTAAGCTTAATAAATATCGGAATATTCCCTCGTTTCAATGAATGTGTTCTAAGTGAACCAATAATGTCCACTATTCTGTTATTCTATTTCTTTTCAGTATCATGCAAGGTTAATAATGGCGGTTGCGAGAAACAGTGCATTGACACAAAAACTGGACCAATCTGTGCTTGCCCCAAAGGATATAAATTACACGAAGATCAGAAAAGCTGCTCAGGTAATATTTCTATTTAGCAATACTAATTAAATATGGATACCAAAATATAACAATTGTCTCAATTTACGTATATTTTACGCGCGCTTCCTCCAAAAACGACGATAAATATTGTAATATTGTTTATCAGTGCCATTATTTTCCCATTGTTAAAGGCATTATATGCACAACCATATTCAGACGAGTCTATCGACTTGCACTGTTAATCTCTCAATGTTTGATTAACATCCACATGTATAAAATACTATATGTACCTACGCACACACACACTTATATGTGTGTGTTTGTGTAAGAGAGAGAAAAGTATGTGTGTGTAAAAGAGAGAAAAAGCATATGTGTGTGTAAGAAAGAGAAAAGGAGTGTGTGTGTGTGTGTGTGTGTGTAAGAGAGAGAAAAAGACTGTGTGTAAGAGAGAGAAAAAGTGTGTTTGTGTGTGTGTAAGAGAGAGAAAAAGAGCGTCTGTGTGTGTGTAAGAGAGAGAGAAAAGGGAGAGGGTGCATGTAAGAGAGAAAAAGAGACAGAGAATGTGTGTGAGAGACAGAGGGTGTGTGAGTATTTTCATGGAAATTGTTCTGATCGACTTACCTCTATGATACCTAGACTTTATGAATTTAAGCGCAGTACTAGATTGGCGGTGAGGTCTCATCATATTACTGTTGAAATATGTTAGATGTAATCGTAAGTTTTATGCTAACAGTTTCTTCTATCACACTTCTCGCTTGTGGAACTCTTTTCCGGCTTCTTGATTTCTTTTCAACTTTGAACTTCAAAAATTTAAATGCAATGTCAATCGTTATCTTCTATCTTCTTAATTCTTGTTCGTTTATTGTCCTCTCGCCTTAATAGTTATTTTTCTCATATTCTCCAACACTCAGTAACCCCTTGCGTTCTAGTGGCTTTATTGCCTTGGTTGGGATGAAATGATTAAAAATAAATATGACAGTGAATGTTGGACAATTCCCTAACAGATAAAGTGGTACTCATGACTCATTGACTATCGCAGTTGAAATGGTGAGATGTAATTGCTAAATCTATGTTAGCAGTTTCTTCTAAAGTTCTTGTCAATCGTTTCTTTTTTGTTTTAATTCTTGTTATTTTATTGTTTTCTCTCCTAAGATCTTTCTCTCATATTCTCAAACACACGGTAATTCCTTAAGTCTGAGTGTCTTTATTGTCTTGCTTAGAGTGAAATGATTTTCCAAAAAAAAAAACATGTGTATTGTATATTTTGACAGCAGTCTTTATTTCCTGAACGTTTCGTTAAAAATAATGAACAAGGCATATCTTGTGATTTTTTTTTATTTTTTATTTATTTAATTATTCCTGTATCCTTAGTTTTCTTTCTTTAAAAGATTGAGTGGATGGAAAATATGTCCATAGTGGAGCTTTTCTCGAGCGCTTTCGCCTAATAATTTAGCCATTTTCAAGGAGGTGGGTGTAATTTTCCGTGGTATCGAGGATTAATAATATATTTACTTTTCTATAGTATAGTTTACTTTTGAAGTAAAATTTTTTTTTTTTTTTCGTGGATTATTTGCTTAGCGCCCGAATATCGTCAGAAAATTCTGGTCGCGTTTGAACACGGTGGTATTAAGTAAACTTTTGCTGTATTTTTATGAAAAAACATACACACACACACAACACACACACACACACACACACACACACACACACACACACACACACACACACACACACACACACATACATATACATACATACATATATATATATATATATATATTGCTCGAAGATGTGGATAAACTGTCCGAAGCCGATATTTTGTTATTTTTGTTCAAGTACATTCGACTTTCGCAGTCCTTATCAAGAACCGATGTGCTGTCTGTGTGGTAGTTAGAATTTTCTTTTGTCTGCATCTGGGTATTCTTTGGGAAGCTGGACGTATGAAATGGTCTAACCGTGACATTTGTTAACAGCTTCTGAACGACTCAACACATCGGGAAATTGAAAAAAATTGCAATAAAAAAATTAAAGCGACAGACCTTGTCGTTTCTTTTTAATGAAACTAGATGAATACTTGCTGCCTAAATATACCTTATTCACACACACACACACACACACACATATATATGTATATATATATATATATATATATATATATATATTCTCGACTCTCCCGTCGAATACGACGTATGGGGGTCAAGCAGATCAGTTCCTAGGAAACCGACAGCCCGAAAACAGCACATGAGATTTGATGATAGTGGTGAAGGTTTCGTGCAGTACCATCCACACTTTTTGAAGGGCCGAATACAGAGACCTGGTGCACTACGTGCCACAGGGTCTCCAAATGACCCTCCGAATTCAGAGTTGTCCTTCTCCTAGACCAGTTGCCATCCAGAGCTATAGAACCCAGTCTGTCCTGCTATTTACCCATAGCTGGAGAGAGAAGAAGAGGATTCTCAGTTTCCCAAGGTTATTAGCACGTAAGTGAATGTAATGGATTCGATTGGAGTTCGAACTCGGCTCTCCGATTCCTCAACTCAAGCCGCTATCCATTACTCGACCGTGCCTCCTCCTTCTCTCTCTCTCTCTCTCTCTCTCTCTCTCTCTCTCTGTATATATATATATATATATATATATATTGTTTAAATTACGCAGGAATGAAAATAAAATTGGCATCTCATTTTAAAAGTTATATTTACCAAAATAACACAAATATATCTTGAAATACGAAAGAGTAAATTTATTCAATAAAATCGCCATTAGCTTCAACCACGGCCTCTAGACGACTTGGGAATCTCCGGAAAACCATTCTGGACGGTCTTCTTGTTTAAGTTGGTGAATGCTGCTAAAATCCTTGACTTCACTTCATGTTTGATGTTATAAGGAGTTTTTTGTCTCACGCTCAATTAAATTTTAAATTCTCAGCATCTGTCGTTCGTGCGCATGTGTAGTCGTACCAACATAACAAATTCTGTTAAATGAAGTCCTAAAAGAGAAAATGCGTTACAAGAAAACATTTTTTCCACTTTGTCATACATACAGTTATTCTGGTCTTTCCTAATGATAGTTGCACCGTGACGCCTCCTGTGACAGTAATTCTAAGGCCTATACCCGCCGCCTCTGTAGTGGTTTCTATTTCGGATATTCATCACTGTTTTTTCTTTTTTTAAATAAAGTTATATTTACTACAATATTTTTTCCTTCGTTGATTTTCCGTAATCCTCAATGATGACCTGTCTATATTCCGGTTTATCGTGACTCAGCCACCTCCACCCTCTGAGCATATACGTTTTATTTAGCGTATATCTGATATTTAATTGGTTAATCAAGATATACCCACAAGTCTAATTTTAATTCTGAACTTATGTTCCCTACTTTAACTTTCGGAAAACAGTTTGTTTTTAAATTTCCTTAAAAATCATTTAATCATCAGTTTATCATCAACTGAAGAAGTAGAATCAAAGTATTGAAACATGAAAGCTTTTGTGCAGTGATTTCAATGTTTTATTATAATCTTTTATAATGAAAATGATAATATTATTATTTATATATTATATATATATTGTATATATTATATATAATATGTATGTGTATATATATATATATTATTTATATTATATATTTATATATTATGTATATAGTATATGTAATATGTATGTATATATATATCATTCATATTATATATTTATATATTATGTATATATATATTATATATAATATGTATGTATATATATTATATCATATATTTATATATTATGTATATATTATATGTAATATGTATGTGTATATATATATTATTCATATCATATATTTATATATTATGTATACATATATATATATATATATATATATATATATATTATATATGTATGTGTATATATATTATTCATATTATATATTTACGTATTATGTGTATGTAGAGAGCTGTTCGATAAAAGTGACTCACCTGATTTTTTTACTAAATGTTTGCTTCTCCGATGAAACGAAAGTTGAGCTAAATTCAAAGAATAAGCGATCTAAAAGAAAACTTATGGAGCATGTTGCTCAACTGCTTTCTCGAGAGCCTGTACTTTATAAGTTTTCTATTGGGTTGAGGCCAGGAGATTGGGGCAGCCATGTCATAACACTCACCTGCTTCTCATCAAAGTATTACTTCATCAATTTTTATTTGTGACAGGGAGCATTATCCTGCATAAAAATGAGCTTGGTGGGTTCAATTTGCACCCTTTCAGCAGAAGGGAGCAGACAAGACTTTAAAATTCTCATTTACTGCTCGCTCCTGAGGGTCTTTTCAATAGGTTTTAAGAAACCATTTGCATGAAAAGAAAATCATCCTCAGAACATTATACTGAACGGATGCTTGACAGTACTTACTGCTAAATTCAAAGAGCTTTCATAGCTTCCTCTTCGGATTTTAGATGGCTTATCCTTTGAATTTAGCTCAACTTTCGTTTCATCGGAGATGAGAAAATTTATTTTAAAAAAATTCAGGTGAGTCACTTTTATCGAACAGCACTGTATATATTATATGTAATATGTATGTGTATATATATATATATATAATTTATATTAAATATTGATATATTGTGTATATATATATCATATATAATATGCATGTGTATATATTATTTACGTTATATATTTATATATATATATATATATAACATATTTATATATTATGAATATATATGTATTATACATATTGTTTTATATATCTTACATATATATATATATATATATATATATATATATATATATATATATATATATATAATTTATGTACGTATAAAAAAAAAACACCGAGGTCAAAACCAGTGGCGACAGTCTGTTTCATGCTTGAACGCAATGTTCAGGCCGTATGTATTATGGGTTGGCTCGGCTATATACTAGTAAATGATACTTTATTGGTATATATATATATATATATATATATATATATATATATATATATATATATATATAATGTGTGTGTGTGTTTGTGTGTATCAGCCAGGCAATCTGATCTTTTTAGTAATGGAATATTGCTTTGTGTCGATAACAGGGAGCATTACCCGCT